TTTTCCAGTGAATAATGAATTAAAGATAGGAGATGAATAATGAATTAATTTTAAAACAGAACAACTCCACGAAGCAGGAAGAACAGCTTATGATTTCCTCCCCCAGGTAAGTGTCCTGGCCACTAGGCTATGTAACTAAGTTCACATTTCTTCTCATTCCAGTACCTTTAATCTCTCATTCAGTGCTAATTTCTCCATTAAATCAAAGCTGTGGCTGACCTTTGTGAAGTGTGCATTTGGAGGCTGTGAGTGGAGCACACCAGTCAAGCAGAGAAATAATTAAATCAGCTGGTCAGAGCTTGGCAATAATAAATTGCAGATGACCATGATGATGTGTAACTGTACATTTTGTTCATTCTTGAAGTATTTTACAAACTCCATTCCTTACAAAACTGTCCCTCCAAACTTGCTGGGCCAGTTACAGATGTCTCTAGCTTTCATGAAATTCTACCTCTTCTTTAGACATAACTTTGGATGTTTGAATATTACTAAAATACTACTTGGCTTTTATGGACTCTGGGTCAAAGTGTATTGTCACCTTGCCAGAGAGAATTTTTAAGACAGTTTTTATGTTTTTCAAGATGAAGTGACTGAAAATTCTTGAAGTTGCTGAATAAAACACACAGGTCTAAATCACTTTAAATCCCAGTGGCTGATTAGCAACTGAGTCTTGGATTAGGAGACACCAAATTCTTGTGAAGGAAAAAGAGGCACATAAGGTAACACCAGCACAGTCCTCCCCAGAAAGAGCTGTTTGCTCCAGAGAGTGTTCATCTGACACTGCACCTGCATTGCTTTTCATATGTAGCACCATTTTCTACAGCCTCTAAGGAATGTTTAATACAAAACTGCCACTGTTGGCCTACAAGATAGGCCGACAACAGAAGCCTGGGGCCTGCCACCTGATCGTGCATCCCTGCTAGAATTCCCTGCTGCACCCTGGAGATGGCTAGAAAGGAAAAGAATAAAACCTTGTGGTTTGGCCCATCACCATCTTCTTCAATTTAACAAGGCCTTGCATTTCTCAGCTGCTGCAAACATTAAACCAGAGCCATGGAATCACTCTGGGGAGGGTGGCAGTTACATCTGCACTGCTTTCTTGCATGCTGTCAGCTTTTGTGCACTGAGAATGGCAGTGAGTGACCTTTCCATTCATTGTTTTCAAGCTTTTGATCAAAACCTGATGTATGTTACACTCTAAATTGAGTTACAACACACACAGTGTATCTGAGGTCAAACATTTATAATGGGTGTGACAAACAGAAAATGATCTTCTGTCACTCATTACATATATAGGAAACAGCACCAGTAAAATTATTACATCCACCAGCAGAAAAATGAAATGAGAAAACTGAACCTGAAGTTTCAGTAGGCATGGCAATGTATCAATTAATATATGAAATAATAAATCCATTTTCATCTAGCATGGACTGTCCATTTTTCATATGAGGCTGTATTACTACTTGTGAGAGTTTACACCTGCTCTCTCTATTCCTGGCATACAAAGCATATTTGGCCACACTTTGGGATCCCTTGCTTATGCCTGGGATTTAATTATATCTCAGCTTTGAACTTCACAATGCAAGTTGGTCACAAGCAAAATTCTAGAACTTCATAATTAAATTAAATTATATAATTTGGAAGAGAGACAGCCACTGACCTCTGCCTTCATCCTGTGTGATGCTCCCAGACTCTGGAAAGAGCTCTCCTATGGAATTCAGCTGCTCTGCATTTCATACTCAGGAAGTGGAGAAGTCCGTGGTCACTCGGGTGTTGCCAACCTGAATTAAGGAGAAGATCAGGTGTCAGTAATAAATGTTCTAATTCTGTTATAGCAATAATAACAGTCTGGGCAGCTAAAACCAGCTCAATCTGGGAAACAATCATTTTATGCTCCCTGCACTCCTTACCAACCCAAGAGTCTGCAACACTGAACACCCTTCAGACACCACTGAACTGGCCAGTCTTTGATAGATTTGAACCACTCTCGAGGCAGCAGTTCTAATGCTCAGTAGAATAAGTGTATCCTTAATAACACCTGCATAGATTACAAGCTCTTCAGAGCAGTAATACTTCAGGAGCATTTGGAAGCATACCACTAAGTGGCAGGCCTAGCTAAAAAAAAATATTTAACACTAATTTATTTCAGCAAACATCTCTACACTTATATATTTAACCTAAGGGTTACACTCATAGGACATATTATTCTGCATGTTGAAAAGTGAACTTGCAGACCTTTCCTTGTTTCTCATCCACACAATAATTTAAGTATCCATAGACTTAAAATTCTTCTCTTTTAACTGAAGTTCTCTTGTGAGTCCTAACTCTGCAGATTTATCCATATAATAAAGATGACCCAGCAGCTTTTAAAGAGTGCCAAAATGTGCTAAAACTGAAACAAAACAGCAGTAGCTACATCCAGCTTCATTACAGAGCTATCTGCTATCTGGGAACATGCAGCACAGTGACAACAGCGAGTGACATTCAGTGTTCTTCCTGTTGATACTGGCTGTGGGCTGAGAGCTAAAAGGAGGCTCTGCCAGCAGGCACCCAGGGAATGTGTGACTGCAGTCAAGTGTCTTCCTTTCCCTCTCCTAACAATCCCTCTGGGCTGAGCTCTCCTACTGGCTCTTACAGTGTAATGTGCTCCTCAAAGCAGACAATTCCCACAGCAATCCAAGGAGCAGGTGCAGCACGTAACCAAAGCCTACCTTTGTTCTAGGCTGACACTTGCTGTGTTTTGGCAGGATTTGTTAGATTAGCTCGATAATCATACTTGCACTATGACTGCAGTGATGGCCCAGCAGTGAAAAACCCCAAAAGACCACGCCTTGTGCAGTCTCTCCCTCCAGCACTACAGCAAGGACACACCCGAGGTACCAAAGCAAGAACAGAAAGGAAGGTGGACGCCTGCCATTTCCACACCATTCCAGAGCTTTCTTCTACACTGAGAATTCACTTTAAACAAAATGCAAACTTGCACACATTCTTAGGTGAACATATTAAATATAAAAATAACTGATATTTGGTGGCAAAATCCTTCTCAGCACTGTTTGTGATGCTCAGCGTTTCCCACAGTTCATACAGAGCTAAGAGGATTCTTCACTTGCCTGCTGTAAGTGCTCCCTCTGCTGTTATGCAGAGCAACTACCAGAAAACATGTTCATCAGCCTAGCAAGAGGTGAATTTTCAAACACTCCATCCCGTGAGGGGAAAATCGATACAATTTTCTGAGATTACTTTTCATGCTTATTTTCTGCACAAGCAACTGCTGTCTTATTCCACTCTTCCAAAGTATTGGTGGTATCATTTAGAATAACAATGCAGCTAAGGAAAAAACCCAAACCAACCCATATTTAAATATCCTGCATTTGCCCTAAAAAAGCTTTTTACTATTCTTATTAAGCATACTGCAGAATCATTCCCTGATTTCTAAGTGGATTACAAATCCTGAGTGCAAAAAAAATAAAGGTGATGAAATTAAAGACCCATAAGGAAAATAGTGTTTATTTTAATTTAAAAAGCCTAAGGGCCAAAATCCCTGCTTACAGTCAAAATCACTTCTGAAATGCACAAGAGCAAGAGAATGACTGGGGAGCTGCAGGCACTGAAGTTAAGGGCAGTTTACTGGAGCAAGACACAAAAAGCACAGTAGATGCAAATCACCACCTGTGGATGCAGAAACCCTGATTTTCAGGGAAGGAAAGGCTTTTATTCAGATCACATTATAAACTAGGAGTGCTGAATCCAAAGACATTTATAGGCTGGAATGTGGGTTAAAATTTTAGGTTTGAAAGTTTGTTATTCAAGTTTTGCTGTGTTTACTTTCCTTGCCCATTTCCTCCAATAGCCCAAACCATCCTTTCTGTGATGGGTTGAGATAAAAGACAGAGCTGTAGCTCCCAGAAATAAAAAGTGTGGCTTTCTAATCCACTGTTGACTCAGACAGTGAATTAATGCAGTGTTAGAACATTATTCAACAAAAGGAAGTAATCTTATGAAAAATCAAATACCAAGATCATTATGTATTTGTGTATTTACTTCTCCCTTTCCACACCATAAAACCCCACAATGATCATGACCAATTTCCCAGAACACTGTGGAAAAGCAAGTGGCGACATTAAAATCTAACCTTTTACCTGAAAATATATATACATAAAGAATAGGTTTTTTTCCTGTAAGTAGAAATCTCATAGAATGAGAAGATCAAGAAACACTGGAAGAGAGGGTAACCTGAAAATCCTCCCTTAAAATTATCTGAAATACGGCCAGGAAATATAATAACATGAAGAAATTTGGCATATTTGTATTCGCTTCAAATGTTTTTTGTACAAATGTGGCCACAAATATCACCGGTAAACCCAAAATAAATATACTGTAGAACACTCATGAAAGAACAGGTTAACCTGAAGAAGATGAGGTATTAAAAACAATCCAGCTTTACTAATGTGTTCTGTAACTTTGTGCTGAGGTTTAACCCCAGCTGGGAACTAAACCCCACAGGGCCACTCGCCACCCCCACGGTGGGATGGGGGAGACAATAAAATAAGAAAAACTCTAGGGTTGAGACAAAAATATGTAACACTTGAAGCTGCTTTTTACTCTTCCACCCTGGAGGAACTAAAGTGTTGTCTACCCACATCGTGTTTGGTAATACTTCATGCTTGCCAAGGTGGCCATAAAGCACAGCTTGAGAAACACTGTTTCACATGATGATTTAACTACCAGAACAAGGATGATTTCAGCATCATCACACAAGGTGGTTTAGAATCTCAGTTTAGAACTGAAATATGGGCTAGAGCTGAACAACGCTGCTTCTCTCCACAGAAATCTTCCAGCAGAGAGAGGCACCCATTACATCAATTTAATACCAGACTGCTCTGGGGGGGGGTTCACCAGTTCAAATAAATCTACACTGGATTATGAAAGAGTATCTCTGAAACCTTAATGTCTTCTCCAAACCAAAAATACAGAAGAAACACACTTCTAGAAATTCAAATATGATGGTATCCCATCCCACAGAACCAGAAAAACAGAGGTCAAGGGAAGGGATAGGGCTTAGAGTTTAAGCATGTTTTTAGCGTAATTGCGTTTGAAACTGTAGCACTGACACCCACAATGAAATGAAAGAAATTAGTATTCTAGTAATTACAGTTTTTTAAGCCAAGGAAGGCTGTGGAAATCTTATATTTGTGTAGTTTTTAAGTACAGCATAAGAGAATAGAGTCTTAAGCAAAACTGGAGTCTGCAATGCCGTGAGAAAGGCTGATAGCGACCAAAATATCAGATGTTGATATTGCTTGTTTGGGCTCTGCTCATATTGAATTTAGGATTTAATAAAAGAATAAACTCCACGAATGCCATTTTGGCTGTGTTATGTTTGCAGGGATTTCCTTTGAAGAAAAGGCGAAGCCTCATGGTTTGGGAAGGAACGGAGGATGGGGTTGAGGGTCTTTAAAACATACAGTTTCTGTATGAGAACACAGAAAACAGAACATCCATGATTTGGGAAGAACTAATCTAATTAATCAATGGCCAGAAACAGAAAAGAGTTGTTTCTGTGCAGCAGTTACCCAGCAGGCTCCAGGAGATGAGTTAATGAACTAATTTGTATGTTTTTGGATGAAACTGTTAAAATAGCCTCAGCCAGTACTCATGTAAGTAAGTCTTCATTCCGCTAGAGCCTTTCCCATATTCCATTCATAAGCATAAAAAGCACCCAACGAGTAATTTCCAAACCAGTGAAAGTGACTCTCAAAACTCCTTTATTCTTAACCTTCCCATAGCTTTTCCAATTTTAAAAATCTTTGCCCTACGAACCCAGACATAAACCTGGCATCGATCTCGGGGAATCACAGGTGGCCAAGTGCCCGTGAGGTGTTTTTAAACTGCCTCCTCAGGGGCCGGGACACCGAATTCTGGGATTTCACGCTGCAGGGCAGACGTAGGGATACACAGCTCCCTGGAAAACCCGCCGTCCCGAAAACAACAATCCCACCGACAGCCACCACATTGCGCAGAGGAACCGGCACCGACGGCTGAAAGACCCTTCCCTCAC